GCTAAAGCCAATGCATAAAATTAAACCTTGTGCTAAGGGTGAGTACTAGACTAATGCTGCAAATCAAACCATTTTAAATAAACTAAACCCATGGAAACCCACATGAAAATAGGCATTACATGGCTGCACTAAAACTTCTCACAGTCACTGTCAGCTAGATGGATGGTTTTTGTGTAGGACTTGGGGTAACTTTTAATTTTGTACACTGACTTCATGGTATCGGCCGATTGGCATTGGTTCTCCTTGATGACTGTTCAGAGAGAAAGGAAGTGTCTTTGTATACAAACTTTAGGGGTGTTCCAAAAGCATCTCCCTCTTTGATGTTGAAAGAGTTATAAAGAAGATGATGATGGATGAGGTAAGCACTTAATTATTTCCTTCCATGTTCCCAGGAAAAACAGCAGGAGAAAGAAAAAGAAGCTTTGGTAAAACCATTCAGGAAACAGAGTTTGTACTCCTATGTAATAATTCCAGTAACTCTTGTTCAGGGAGTCCCAGTATAATTTCCAAAAGCGCTTTTTTTTTTCCTCCCTACTTTCTTGTATTTTTTTTATGCTTTTGAGAACCAGAAGGCAAACATGTGAATTAATTTTCCCTTTCTTCAACAACATCTCTTCTTACAAGTCTTTCTTTTCATGTTTCCCTTCTGCTTTTAATGAAGATTTTCCGACATCTGTATATGCAGACTTATTCTTACAAAGCAGGTTTTGTTTTCCGTCTCCAGGAAAGCGGTGGCGAGCAGTGGGGGGAGCTTGCAGTACTACGGGCCAGGAACTCGACCACGCTCTTTGCTCAGTGCTTTTAAACGCTGTCGATGGGATTGCAGGAGACCTGCTCCTTTTGGTATGTGATACCCTGGTTCAAACGCAGCAGAACGTTGAGTCTAAAGAGATGGTACTTGGAAATTCACCTAAGTGCCCTATCAGAAAATGCTTAGCATGGCCCTTCAGTTGCGAGAGAGTTTCTGCTCCTACACAGCAAAAACCATGTTATGCACCAGCTTAGAAACCATCACAGCCATTGGAGACAAACCACTGTTAAATAGATGGGCATGTATTAAAACCACTGCCCCCATCCTGCCTTTCTCCACGCACTCTGAGCTCCTTTTAACTTGGCAATACCTGATTTTTCTTCCTCTTTCATGTCTGTCTTTGCAGATAAACTCCTTCTTCATTCAGTCCCTTTTATCCCTTTCACTTCTGGGAAGCAGTACAGCTTGCAGCTCTCCAAAGCGTTGCAACCAGGCTGCTAGGGATGCTCTCAAACCAGCACATTTAGAGATACACCAGCAGCCGCATTTCTCCTTGCAGTCTGTCTCAGTCCGACCCCGCTCCTTATGTTATTTTTAATGTATTGCAGCTAAAGGAGAGATTTCACGACTCTGCAGGAAATGTGTGAGTCACAGCCATGGCAATGAGCTGCAGAGAGTGACAAGCTGCAGTGACCGTCCAGCCTGGTTTGTCACCCCCAGTCCTGCTTTGCTGCTAAGGTAAACTGGTGGGAGGGAGGATGGAAGCGTGCGTTACGTGCCGAGATGCTCTCAGGGTTGTGGGGATCCTGCTGGCAACCCTTGTTTTACCTTTGAAAACCCAGGAGCTTGCTTTGACGCAATGCAGTAAAAGCAGGCAGAGGGAGACACGATAGAAACTTCAACCCCAGTTGCAGCTGCAAGTAAAGCCGTAGTCTGTCCCTGAGTTTTCTCTTGCCGTTGGGGCAGATGGGGTCTCCATCAGGCCAAGACCTCATCACATGGAAGACAAATACAAGGAGGTCCTGAATGCTTTTCTTGAGATACCCATGCACACACAGTCACTCCCCTTCCACTCAGCAAGAGGAAAACTTGTACAGGTATAATATCCAGATTGTACGAATTTACCTTCTAGTAACTAAATAATTGACAGCGCATCGTTTGCTGCCTTCCTAGATAAGTTAAGGGTAGTTTAATCCTGAACAGAGAAGGAAGAAAGCTCACATGGGAATGGGAAAAGCACGGGTCCTGACGCCTGGAGAAAATTCTAGTGCCTGACTCAGCTCCCTGGCAAATGCAACCTCTTTGTGTTTTGTAACGCTTCCCAGTTTGTTTCCACCTGGAATTTAGTTCTGGGATGCTGAAAATCTCTTAGTCATAGCTCTTCCACAACCCGGTACGGTAAAAAGATCCTGGTTTAGAGCCCTCCAGCTCCTGAAGTCACAGGGGTCTTGGTAGCCCACCTTAAATAAGAAGCCTAAATCTTCACAGTAACTTCCTTTAATTATTGTTTTTCCCTTCACAGAGTCTTTAGTATTGATTAATGAACGTCTGTGTCTGAAAGTAATTAATCCCTTCACTGGTTATGCACAGTCTGAAGAACTAATTGGTGCAGAACAGGCAAATAACATACTATTTATGCATCTCTGCCCTGGAATTATGCTATCTTTTGAAACTGTTTGATTGCAGATGTCAGTAGACAAAACCTCTTGGCAACATTAAATATTAATCGGTTCTTATAGTTTTATAAATATTTAGAAATGTGTTAACCAGTTGGTTATTTCTCTTAGGGTTTGATGGAAACATTTGCAGTGGGAAATAGACTAAACTCCCAAATTTATTTTGTGTGTTAGAGCAGAGAAAAAAAAAAAAAAAACACAGTTGTGGGTAATAACTAAAGGCTGCAATATGTTTTGGGTGGAAAAGGGGGGCGAAATGAGGATATTTTGAAATACACCATGCCAGCGGGTAGCCCAGGAGTTTGCCTCCCACGCAGGCTGTGCAGCAAATTCCCAAAACCATTCGGGAAAGTCGATGTACGCTGGGCAGAAGCATCGATACAGCCCCCTTGTACAAGAAACTGCAATCCTGGTTGGACTGCCAATGTGCAAGCAGAATCAAAACACCACAGATAATAATCTCGAGGTCCTTGCACCTGTATCCTACCAGAACTGAAAAGAAAGCATAACATGAAAAATAGCAAGCTAGTTCGGGATCCCCCCTGCACCTCTGTAAGCCCATGTTAACAACGTGTTCGTCAGTCTCCCGCTGACGTTGAATTCGCTGTACAAGGTGACCCTTCTTCGTCTTGATGCTGAAGATGCCTGGCTTTCTGTGCTGGGGGGTGGCAGCCCACTGCCTTCGAATTTTGTGACATTTTAGCAGATTCTTGGACTTGAAGCACGTAGACAGGAAGTTTTATGTTAAATGCTGGTCTCTGGTTTAGTTTTTGGCTTTAGTGGTGGTGGTCTCTTTGAAAATTTTGAGTAGACCCAAGAGAAAAGAGCTTCAGTGCTCGCAAACCATTGGGTTTTTCTGTATTTTAACATAACTTGGTGCAAACACTTACTGTCAATAGGTGAGTGTGACCGGGCTGCTGCTTATTCATAAAGGTACAGTTCTTTTTATGTCACATACACATGTAACTCACAAATAAGCTCGCTACAGAGAAGCTGCCATTTAATTTGCTAACTCTGCTTTAATTAAATGTCACTCAACCAGCAAGCTGTTGAGGATTTCATGAGGATTTCCATTATTGATATCAGCAGGAGAAACATTCATTACTTTGCTACACAAAGACATTCAGGTTTATTTGAAAGGCTTTTCTGCTGCGGACTTTTTACAATTTCTCCAGTGAAGAACATGCAGAAGCCTTTCAATTAAAAACTACTTGATCTTCAATTATTGATAGGAGGAAGAATTGGAAGGCATATACAAATCATAGATTTTGATCAGACCCTCAATTAGTCAACAGGTTTCAGGACAGTCCGTGTACTGAACCCAGGCTTAAAAATGATTTGCATTTCTCTGCTAGTTATGGGAGGTAAGGCGGTAGCAGCGTTCTTCATTTTCCTTTTGAGATGTGATAGAAAAAACCACAATATTAATCCCATAATAAGACATATTAGTTCCCTAAATTGGAGTTGGGGCTCTCCTCTTTTTCCCTTTGTTTCATTTGTCCCCATTTTTTTTCCATGTAGTCAGATTTTAAAGGGCCCTTTAACTGGCTGTCGTCTTAATAAAGCTGACCTGGAAGTAGCAGTAGACATAGGCTAACTCTTAGGAGGGCTTTCTATTGGAAATTAAAAAATGCTTGAATTTGGCTTTATCTGTCAGTCAAACCAGGTATAACCTGAGCCCTCCCCAGCCTCAGTTCAAACCCTGGAAGGGCCTCATTTCTAGGGCTATTTTTAAATGGACAAATAGGTAAAAAATGAGTTAGGAATATTTTTGATACATGGTACCAGTATCACCTTTGGAATGGTTTCCTTTTTCCAGGAATTTATTTGCTCTCAATTTTAGAATTTTGTTTAGAGGCAGATTGCACCAGTTGATCATTTGAGACAGGGTATTATAAGGATGTTCCCATATAACTAAGGCAGGAGGGGGGAAAAAAAGTTAATCAGAAGCTACCCTATTTTGATGAACATATGGTATCTTGGTTGAGATGACTTAGTAGGTCTTGGCACACTTAAGTGACAAAGTAGTATCATAGAAGACCCCATGACCAGTTGTGGTTCACAGACAGGCTATCTTCAGAAGGGGGGGGAGGGGGGGGAAAATCAAGGAACAATCTGGAAACTGCCACATCTTTAAGGCTGTCCTTACACCTTGAGAGTAGTGTGCAGAGAGGAAAATTATACTTGTGGCAGAGTTTAACACTTTTACATGTAGTAAAAGCAGGATTGCTCAGATAAGCAGTATTAGCAGCATATGGCTTAGAGACCCTCTGCTAGCAAAAGCAATTGCAACCCCCCAAAGCACCTCAAGGCCAGGCAGCAGAATTCAATAGATTCTTCTTTACTCTAGAAAGCATGGGATTGGCTCTTAAGTCTTTGCTTAAACCAGCTCAAGTATTTGTGCTATGTTACAGAAAATGTGTTCATCATATCCCATTCAAACTTGTTTTCTATATGAGGACGCTAAGGAAAAACTCAAGCAACTTCTCAACCCATGCAACCGTGTTCCCATTCAGGACAGAGTATCGAAATTCAAGGCAGGATCCGAGTTGGAAAAGAAGTCACCAGACAAGTCATGTTTTCAGTATTGACCTTTATTGAGCAAGAACTGCTGTGACTGTTTTACATCAAACAACAAAAGGTTGCGTACTGTGCATGTCAACTAGGTTCTCCCATGAGCAAAAGTCCACCCTAATTGCACCAGTGAGGTAAACACAATTATTTATAAGTAGCTTTTTTTTAAGGCTAGGAGAGTTCTGGTTCTCATGAATATTCTATTACTGTTTTCTGTTTGTTTTTGGCTCAGTTGGTTCTTTGCATAATACATCTTAAGTCGTTCCTCAGATATGTCCCTCCAACAGCTCAGGAAATTCAAAAGCTTCCTTTGCACATTTCATCTCATGCACTATTATTAGTATTATTTTTTTAGATCCCCAAGCTCTGTGGAGGGAGTACATCTTGAGCCTGCATGCATTCCCCCCCCCTCCCCTATATTGCACAAAAAAGTAAAATACTGTGTGTCTGGAGCCTCCATGAGAGAACCCGTTCTGCTTTGAAGCCGTCACTCACATGCATTTTGCAGCTGTCATATGGCTTAACCTTTTGCACCGACCCAAGCTCTTTAATTATTTTAATTTAGCTATGATTTATTTTATTCGGTCTCTTTAATCTCTTTTACTACGGCATGTGAAGTAACTTTCTCCACTTTCTTGGTGGACACTAATTTCTCCTCAAAGCTTTCTTCACGTTCCTCTACCTTCTGAGTGACTGTCACTGATTTTGTGATATATGTGGTTGCACTGTCCCCACCTTCAATGATTTTCTCTGCTTTTTTGGTTACTACAATTTTCTCACCCTTATCATCAATTGGGCTCACATCTAGGCCATTGGTGACAACTCCCTTGTCCTCCTCCTCAACCTCCTTCTCTTTGGATTCCTCCTCCTTCTTCTCCTCCACCTCACCATTCACTGCAATGTCTTCTTTCCTGGACCCCTTCTCTACCTCTGCACTAATTTTTGTTACCTTTGTGACAGTGATGGTCTCCTCCACCACAGCCTTTTCATCTTTGACCGGGGAGGCCGGCTTCTCTGGAGAAGGGGGCTTCTCTGGAGTTGCTGGCTTTTCCGGAGAGCGGGGCTTTTCCGGGGTCGCCGGCTTTTCCGGAGAGCGGGGCTTTTCCGGGGTCGCCGGCTTTTCCGGAGAGCGGGGCTTTTCCGGGGTCGCCGGCTTCTCTGGGGTCACTGCTTTCTCCGGGGTTGCAGGCTTCTCTGGGGTCGCCGGCTTCTCTGGGGAGGTTACCTTTGGTGTCGCTGGCTTCTCTGGAGATGCTGCTTTCTCTTCCTCCTTGGCTGGCTTCTCACCAGCTTTCTCCACCTTCTGCTCTTTTCCCACTTCTGCAGCTGCTTCCTTCTGGACAGCCTTGGCCGGCTCCGTTACAGGGGATTTCGGGGGGGATTTAGGGGGTGACTTTGAGGGAGGTGTCTTGACCTTCTCTGCCTTTGCTGCTACCTCTTCAGCTTTGCCCTTGGCCTCAGCTTCTTCCCCCTCTTCCTCAGCCTCCTCCCCTTCTTCCTTTTCCTCTATTTCTTCTTTTTCAGAACCTCCTTCTTCCGCTGCATCAGATTTTGCGGCTTCTTCCTCCTCTGCTTCCTCTTCCTCCTTCTCTTCCTCAGGGGCAGCTGCTTGTTCTGCAGCAGCCTTCTCAGAAACAACTTCTTCTACAGCTGCTGCTTCTGCTTTTTCTTCCTGCTGGGCCTTGGCTGCCATTTCCTCTGCAATAACCGCTAGGGCATCTTCCATTTCAGACTTTTCATCCTCTACCTTTGTCTCTTCAATGATTTCTTCTACAAACTTGTGCTGGACCTTCAGCTTTGGTGGTTCAATTTTTGTTTTCTGAATTTTAGTGGATGCTATTGTGACAGATGGTTGCCTGTGTGTGAATATGGGTCCAGTAATGCTTCCAGAGAAGGCACTGAATCTTGTCTCTTCACCCTCCAGTAGCTTCCTGAGGGAATCAGGAGGAGGAAAAAAGAGAATGAGCATAGAAACCCAACATAAGGGACGGCTATTAGAATATTTCCCTGTCAGCAGGATGAAACCAGCTTGTATGTGGAATATGCTAGAGCTGATCAGCATAATCCATCGCTCACAGCCCCAGTTCAGCTTTCCTTGAATCAGCTCTTTTGCAAAATTCATATTCAGCAAACAGCTTTTAGCTTGGTTTGCATGTGGCAAGTGAAACACCTTCGGTTTATCATCCTGAAATTCACCCTTAATGTCAAAAACTTTATTACAGCATAAGTCAGCACAGAGTATGGCAAAATAATTAACTTTACAGGATGCATTATGACTTGGGTGAACTGCAAATTTGACACAGCCAACAGACCCAAATCAATTATCGTGGCCGAGATGTTCAAAGCCAATTAGAGCATATGTCCTGGTTCAAGAGTTTGGACATCCACCCTTCTCACGCGGCTATGGAGACTGAAAAGACTTTGTTCAGCTAACTTTGGCAGCAAACAGCTACAGACCCTAGGGTATCTGTGTTTGTCTGAACAACCTCAGGAATTTAAGCAGATCTGGAGATGGGGGTTTTTGGTTTTACTGTTCTTATATTCAAATGCGTGTTTTTCATCTAAGCCTGTGACCCAGAAAAATCAGCAGTTCTCCAATGGGAGTTCTAAAGGAGACTAAAAAAACCTGCCAGGTGATGGCAATAGCAAGCAATGTTCCTGCTCCAGATCAGAGTGGATGCCTTTAAAGGAAAGTTGAGCAAGAAAAGCAAAAGTGTTTGTGACAAACAGATTAGCACTCCCTGCCTGAAACCATGATCAAGCAAGTGCACTGTCTCTCGAGAGAGATAAAAGGGAATTCAAGTGAGAAGCACCACTCGCTTGGCATATGCAAAGCGGAATAAACAGGGATTAAAAATAACCTTGTCTTTTGCTGCATCTTCTGCTTTTGTAAACAAGGGCAGAATGCGGCACCAGGGTGCTGCTGCACTGAGTCACGCTGCCCTGCGCCCACTGAGCCCGCCGGGAGCTCTGCCACTGGTTACCAGGGAGCCGGTCCCTAATGAACCCCGGGGTCTTTCTGCAAACGCCCTGTGGTCTGCATAGATTTTGGCAGAGTCGTAATGATTTAGTCAAGCTCTAATTTAACTTGTGTTGACTGCATGCAGATATTTCTTATCTGTGGTAAAGCTTCCCAAGCCAGCAGCATCTGCAGTGCTATTAATATTCCAGACATGTCCACAAGGATCCTACTGTACCTGTATGCAGCAATTTCAATATCCAGGGCCATCTTGACATTGAGGAGGTCCTGGTATTCCCTCAAGTGACGTGCCATTTCCCACTTTGTTCCTCTAAGCTCATTCTCCAGCTGATGAATCGTGTCCTGCAACGGAGACGCAGAAAACCTCTGTGACACAGACACACGCTTCGCACAGAGCCAGAGCAGGGGAAAAAGTTCTCAAAAAAAAGGGACTTTCAGAAACTCTTTCCAGCACTCTGGGGAGGGCAGTGCTGGGATCAGAGCAGGACCCACCCGCCTCCCACAGCCCACCCAGACACCTCCCTGCCGCTGCAGCCAGCCCTTGGGGGCCCAG